ATCATCAATAACTACTTCTAGAACCTACATTCTAATAAGATGGAAAACACAGAAGAAATGGACAGATTCCTAGATACATATGAATTACCAAAGCTGAATCAAGAAGATATAAAAATTCTAAATAAATCAGTATCAGGGGATGAAATTGAAGTTGTAATTAAAAACCCACCAACAAAGAAAAGTCCAGGCCCTGATGGACCCCCTGCCGAATTCTACAAGAAATTTAGAGAAGACTTACTGCCACTATTTCTCAAACTCTTGAAATTGAAAGGGAAGCAATATTCAATGAAATTGAAAGGGAAGCAATATTCCCAAACTCATTCCTGGAAGCAAGCATTACCATGATTCCAAAACCAGAGAAGGATCCAACCAAAAAAGGTCCATCTCTCTAATGAACATAGATGCAAAAATCCTCAATAAGATACTAGCAAACAGAACGCAGCCGATTATCAAGATTATAGACCATGACCAAGCAGGATTCATCCCAGGGATGGAGGGATGGTTCAACATATGCAAATCAATAAATGTAATACACCATACTAACAAATCCAAGGATAAAAACCACATGATCATCTCAATAGATGCAGAAATAAGGTAGGAAAGGAAGAAGTTAAATTATCATTATTTATAGATGACATGATACTGTACATAGAAGACTCCAAAAACTCCACCAAAGACTTCTAGATTTAATAACCAAATTCAGTAGCATAGCTGGATATAAAGTCAACACTCAAAAATCAATAGCATTCTTGTACACAAATAACAAACTCACTGAGAAGTTAGAGAAACAACACCTATCACAATAGCATCCAAAAAAATGAAATATCTAGGAATCAATCTAATGAAGGAAGTAAAACACCTTTACATTGTAAACTACAGTACTCTGAAAAAGGGGATCGAAGAGGATATCAGAAAATGGAAAGATATCCCTTGTTCTTGGTTAGGAAGAAACAATGTAGTGAAAATGGCCATACTTTCAAAATTGTTATATAGATTTAATGCAATTCCGATCAAAATACCAATACTATATCTCACAGAATTAGAAAAAACAATCTTAAAATTCATTTGGAACCAGAAGAGATCCAGAATAGCAAAAGCGATTCTGGGCAACAAAGGCAAGACGGAGCATTACAATCCCTGACTTTAAATTATACTACAAAGCTATCATGATATTTTTATTTTTTATTTTATTTTATTCAGCATGACATTGGCCCAAAAAAAGACTACAAGATCGATAGAACAGATTAGAAGATGCAGAAACAACTCCAAATATACTCAGCCTTCTTATCTTTGACAAAGGAGTCAAACATCTTTACTGCAAGAAAGCCTCTTTAATAAATGGTGGTAGCTTTCCATATACCATAAACTGGCTTTCCATATGCCGAAGATTAAAACTAGACCCATATCTTTCACCATGCACTAAACTAAAATCAAAATGAATCAAAGATCTAAATATTAGAACAGAAACTCTTAATCTGCTGGAAGACAGAATAAGTAGAACCCTTAAAGACATTAGTGTATGAAAAGATTTTATGAACAAAAACCTGATCGCACAGGAAATATCACAGAGTCAACAACTAGGATCTCATCTTATTAAAAAGCTTTTGCACAGCAAGAGAAACTACCAACAGAGTGAAGAGACAACCCACAGAGTGGGAAAAATTTTTGCTAGCTGTTCCTGAGACAAAGGACTAATATCTAGAATATATAAAGAACTCAAAAAAAAATCAGCCCAACCAAATTTAAAGACCCAATCCAAAAATGAGCATCTGAAATGAATAGACATTTCTCAAATGAGTAAGTGAAAACAGCAAATAAATATATGAAAAAATGTTCTGTATCACTGGTCATTTGAGAGATGCGAATTAAAACAACAATGAGATTCCATCTCACAAAAGGAAGAATGAGAGCCACCAAGAAATCAACCAATAACAAACGCTGGAGGGGCTGTGGGGAAAAAGGAACCCTTCTCCACTGTTGGTGGGAGTGTAGACTGGTATAATCACTGTGGAAATCAGTGTGGAGATTCCTCAAGAAACTAAAACTAGAGGTCCCATTTGACCCAACTGTTCCCCTTCTTGGTATCTTCCTGAACGAATTAAAAGCATCATACTAGAGCAATATATGCACACCCATGTTTATACCAGCACAGTCTGTAATAGCTAAATCTTGAAAACAGTCCAAATGCCATCAACCAATGAATGGACAAAGAAGATGTGGGGGTTTTTTATACAATGGAGTACCACTCTGACATAAAGAAGGATAACCTTGAAACATTTCTACCTAAAAGGATGCATGTTGAGACCATACTCTTAAGTGAAAGAAATTGGACACATTGTTTCTCTGGTGTGAGAAAGTGAAAGCATAAATAAGGACCAAAATGTATAATACATGTAGGGAAACAGGAAGAAAATGTTCAGAGGAGAAGGAGAACAAGGCAGGGGAGGGGGAAAAGGAAAGAAGGGACAAGAAAAAAAAGGAATAAAAAAAAATGGAAACAAAGCTTTTTTAAATAAGGAGGGGAAGAGGGGTTGAAAGGGAGGGGAATTGGGTACAAATTCCCTATAATGAATGTTACCATTATGTTACCAATAAAATTTTTTAGAAAATGGTCTCCTATAATTTTTATTTAACAATCTCCACAATGGTAAAAGTAGTGGTCAATTATTAATCTTCATCTCACTTGACCTAGATAGACACTTAACATAACATCACTCTTTTCTCAATCTTTTTCATCAGTTGGCCTTTAGGATACCACACTTAAAAAGTTTTCCTTCCTTCACTGACTATTCCTCCATAACCACCTTTCAAATAAAGTACATGCAAACTCCCATGAACTGCTTCCTTTGGTTATATCAACAACTACTATCAAAATATGACTAATTAAGTGCTCACTTCAACAGCACATATACTAAAACATCACTAATGCACTTTGGGAGGCTAAGGGTGACAGATCACAAGTTTGAGCCCTGCTGTGAAGGCCCTGGGTTCAATCCTCAGTCCTGGGGGAAAATAGTATGATATCCAAAATTACATCTATAGCTAGATCTTCTCCTTCTTCTGCAGATTCATTTGTTGAACTCCCTCTATCACACCTCAACTTTAATATTTTAGAGGCATCTCAAACTTAGCATAGCCAAACTAAATCACTGACCTATTCCTTGCTCCACATACAAATCTGCACTTTTCCAGGACAACAGATTCCCTCTATTTGCTCAGGTTAGACTGCAGACTCATTTTTGACTCTTTCACTCTCACTTCAATCTTCTAGCAAAATCTTTTGGCTATGGTATCCAAATAAATCTAGCTTCTAGCCTCTTCTCACTGCTTCTATTGTTACCACTCTGGTTCAAACCACCACAATCATCTCTCACCCGGATTATTACTTTGGATTCATAACCAGTCTCTCTGCTTCTACCTTTGCTTCCATGGTTATGCTAAACACAATTTAAAAGAAGAAATTATTTTTAAAAGTCAGGTCATACCTTCATCACTTAAAATCCTCCAATGGCTTCCCATCTCAATCAAAGTCAAAGGCTTTTCAATCACCTACATGACCCCCTACCAGTATTGCTTTGGGATTTCATCTTATTTTCTCCTGCACTCAGTGAACTTGAGTCTACTCATGAGACTCAATCATTGAGTCTCATTAGTCTCCTTGCTATTTCTCAAATGGCCAGGAATGCTGCTGCTCACAAGGCCTTTGTGATAGCTGTTCTTCACTTGAGTGATCTCCCAGAAATCTACCTGGTTACTTCCCCTCCTACCTCATCTCTCTGACCACTTTATTTAAAAGTGAAAATTGCTCCCCACAACTTGGCACTCCTCATTCCCCTTCCTAGTTGTTTTTTATTTTTCTCTACTGGATCTGCCTTCATTCCACTTACTACAGTATATATTTTACATACTTTTTACTCTCCCTGCTTAGTTGAATGCAAGCTCTATGACAGTATGGATATACAGTACTGTACTCAATGCTACCTTTCAAAATATTGCTATAGCAGGGACTCAACAGGTATTCGTTGACTGAATACACAGGGGCTGTTGTTTTGGTCCTCACCCTTCCTGGGGATGAAGATTTCCCTATCTTCCCAAGAGTGGGCAAGGGATATCCTTCTAGCCAAATTCTATGTTTAAGCATTGGTTTCTTTAACGAGGTAGGACTGTGTCTGTTTCACTGTTGTATATACTCAGTCCCCAGAAGTTAAAAATACATCAATTCTGCAATGTGAAGAATTAAAACCTAATCTATCAATCCATTTATAGCCACTCAAACGTGAATCTTCTCAAGAATAATGACTTTTGGGCCGCGGATTTAGCTCAGTGGTGCCGCCGCCTGCTTTGCAAGCGTAAGGTCCTGAGTTCGATGACCAGCACCAAAAAAAAAAAAAAAAAAAAAAATATACTGACTTTGAAAAACACAGGAGTAACTTTAAAGAAACGGCTAAATCGTTTAAAGATAATAAACTCGGGATTTTTATAGGGCACTTATTATTATTCACAAAGTATCCTCAAAGCCTGCAATAAGTCATATCTAAGAATACTGGGAGTTCTTTCATACAAAACGGACTTGACCACTTGCTTTCAAAACCCTGTTTAGGATTTCATTTGACTGAGATCAAAACAATCCTATGCAAAGGCAAACAAATTTGCAAGTACACAAGGACCCCGTCCATCCCGCGCTTGTCCACATGAAAAGCGCAGAAGCAGAGGTAGCAGCGCGGGGCCCCCATTTCCACAGCATCCTTCTTGCTGGCCTTAGGCTGCTCCCTTTGGCCCCCGGGGTCGCGACCCCTAAATCCTTGCCTCGCCCCTAAATCCTCGCCTTACCACACCCGCAGGCGTGGGCACGTGTAATAGTCCTTCTCACATAAAGACGTCTTGGAAAAAGTCCCAAAAGAACGACGTAAAGGCAGCAACCCTATATGGCTTCGTCTCCAAAATCTCAGAGGAAACATTCCTATCAAAGGAAAAATAATAACGAAGGCTACAATACTCACCAGACCGACCGACTCAACTCCTGCCTCCAGAACCTTTGATTTGCAGGCTGCGACAGGCGAAGTCGCGGTGGCTCCTGGGGGTTGTAGTTTCCGTCGCAAACAGTAGCGCAGGCTGTAGCAAAACTACATTTCCCAGAAGCCAACGCGAAGCCTAACCCTGCCTACACCACTTAAATCTGGACTTTAACATAATAAAGAAGCCGTCACTGTATTTTTTAGGCTAATCCTAAACTTAGATTCAATTTCTTCAAGGAGTGTCGTCGTGCCCTTTATGTGCGTGCTTGTCTGCTGTGATAAAAATCTCAGTGTACTTGTACTTCTACTGCTTACTTTTCCTTCCCATTCTCCAGGGCGACGACTCCAAAACGTCCGGGAACCGAAAAGCCTTCAGCGGCAAGCTAAGTACCTCGAAGGCGCAGGCGCTCTGCTCGCTTTCACGCATGCGTAGCAATCTACCGCGACTGGTGGCTGCGCACGGCGGATTTAGGGTCTGGAGGTAGACGGCCGGAGGGCGGGGCTTTTTCCAATGGTTTTTCCTCGGCGGGTCGCGTCTGCCTGGGCGGGGAAGAAGGCCCTAGGGCAGAGGCAGCTCCCGGTTTGGGCCCGGCAGAGAAAAAGGAGGGGCTGGGGGCAAGGACCCCATCTCTCCTCCCTGCTCCCGCCCTCTGGGCCGATCCCACCGATGGGGCTGGGCAAAGGGGCGGGCTCTGCGCCTCAGGCCTTGCAGATCCTCCAGCTCGGTGCTCGAGGTTTGTCGGGGCTAACCTGTGCCCTCTGGCTTAGTAGCAGTTGGCGAGGGCACAGGGACCGAAGCGGCGGGGCCAAGGACGCCCTTCTTCATTGCCGCCGACCCAGACAGGGATTGCTGGAGACTTGCTTTGCTTTCCCTCAGGTCCCCCTCAGGAGCTCTGAGGCTCGGCCGCCGCAGCCCGGAGCCAGGGTTCTAGGGTTCAGCAACACTTCGCCCGCGCCTGGCCGGCTGCTGAGGTTTGGGGAGGAGCTGAGGAGGGCGGGGACTATTGCCAGAGGAGGGGCGGAGTGGGAACACCAGAGAGAACTGGTGGCTGCACTGATAAAAAAAAGGAAAGACCGAATGGCTGGAGAGCATTCAACTGTTACCAGCCTTTTTGCACAGAGCACAGATTTGACAGCTCCACACCGTGAGGATATCCGTTGACCCGGCGAGACAGAGAACACTTCGCCGAGACTACCTGTCCAGCAAAGCCAGCGCTGTAAGATTGCAACTTTCCAACTTTGTTTTTTTCAATCTTTGTCCAGAAGACCGCCCCTTCGTGTACGAGAGAGTAAGAGGATGATTAATCTTGTAGATCAGTTCAAAACATCAATTTAAAAGACACTTCTGATTCCTAAATGAAACCCAGACGTGTGTTTTCGTGACGTTTCGATTTCTCTGAATTTATTGGAAATTTCATTAAAAAAAATACTCAGTGCTTTTGGGGCATGCTGAAGGGTGACTGAAGACTGGAAAGAAAAAACTGATTGACATGGCTGAAGGAGAGAATGAAGTGAGATGGGATGGATTGTGCAGTAGAGATTCAACTACTAGAGAGACAGCACTGGAAACCATTAGGCAAATCATTTTGAGAAAAACCGAGTGTCTTCGTTCAGTGAAAGAGACAACTTACCGTCCTTCAGACGAGCTTTCAAATGCTGTTTCTTTGGATGAGTTGAATAAGCTTCTTGCACATCTGCTTATGCTGTCTAAGAGGTGTCCCTTTAAAGATGTAAGAGAGAAAAGTGAGTTTATTCTGAAGAGCGTCCAGGTAAGGAAGAGTATTAGAAGTACAACTATAGAGCAAAAATTTTTGTTGTGATTATTCACATTGATTTTGTTTCTAATAAGTTACTGTATAAACTCTTACAGTGAATTCACTACTTTAGAGCGTTACGTAGAACATTGAATTGGGGGCCAAAATTAGACAAGAATATAAGTAAACAAGTACAGCACTGTTTTTCTAGAGTTGGGCAAAAACTGCATTGCTCCTAAAAAAATATGTATGTGACAGAGTTAATTGTAGGATTTTTCTTTGTTTCTTTTAACATGTTGTAAGAGTAGCAAAAAAAAAAAAAAAAAAGTAGCAGATGTGCTTTTCACATTGTTACAAACTATTTTCTGTGTGGAAAGTTTCTAAAAATCATAAAGGATATTAAATGTTTTCTAGCCTGCTTCTTGAAGATGCTTGTAGAACACTTTTCTCTTATTCTTAAAAACAAAACAAAAACCAAACGGGATTTGCTCTTTAAATGCAACCTTTTCTTTTTCCAAAAAAAAGGGGGTGGGGGGAACTATATAAAGTAATAAAAGGTTAAGTTATAAAGAAACTGACATCTTCAGGTTGAAAAGTCAGGCCTGGGTAGGGTGTAGTCAAAATACATTGATGGTAAATTACTCAACTAGTTTTGTCTGTGATTGCCTGGATTGGTTCCTTTGTTTTTCATATGAATACCTATTTAAACGGAGTGCAGCAGATTAAAAATATTAGGGTCCCCCTCTCACCCCTGTTTTGTATTTAATCAATTTATCTTGTTTTATTAGGTTTTTAGAAAATGTTAAAGACTGTTCAGTGACACTTTTATGTTTGTCAGTCTATATGTGTTGTTCAGGGTAATGTATGAGAAATATTTTTTTTTTGTTACCAGGGATCAAACTCAGGACCTTGTGCTTTCAAGACAGGAACGTTACCTCTGAACTAAATCCCTTGCCTGAGAAATTTCTTAAATGTATAATTTACTTGGGTGTATATTTAAGCTAGATTGACAGTTTTTCTGTACTGGCTTGAATTTAATTTATTTTTGTTGGGTTTTTTTTGGGTACTGGGGATCGAACTTGGGTCCTTCCGCTTGCACAGCAGACAATGAAACCACTGAGCTAAATCCCCAGCCCTCTTGGATTTAATTTAAAGCAACAAAAAAGTCATCATATCCATAAAATGAAAACCCTAGGATACTGGGATTTTTTTTCTCATGAATACTTTGGAAACAATCATTACTATTCATTTTATCAGAGACGAATTAACTTTATAGATACCTAAAGTTTACTGTTTTAAGTATAAAAAGTTATTTTTCTGTCTCGTAGACAGTAGTCACTATAACAATCATTTTTTTCATAGTAGGGTCATCATTATACACATCAAATACTGTTGCAGAACATATAGAACTTTATGGCCCATGTGTTTTAAAATTGTGTCCAATTTTTTATAGTTTTTCTCTCCTTTCTCTTGCTGTTAGTATACTTCGGTCTCTTCCTGACCTTTTGCTTATTTATATTAGAGTGAAAACTAGGTAATCAATTTTGTTAAGAATTGTATTGAAAATAAAAGTAAACAGGCTCTGGAGAGTACTGTGTCAAAGGATTGCAATATAAATGGTAATAAATGGGCACTGGAGTCAGTCTTGGGTTCAAAATTCTACTCCTTTATTAATGTACTTCTATAACCTTGGACAGGTTACTTGATCTTTATTAGCTTGGACTTTCTCATCTATAAGGTAGAAATAAGAACAGAACTGTTGTGAGAATTAAATGAGATATAAAGTGCCTAGATATGTAGTAAATGGTGCTTCTCCCCTTGCACAAGTAAAATACATGGACTATTGTGAAATATATTTCAAGATTCACTCATCTTGCAAAAGTTTCAACAATTTCCTCTACTGTGAAGATTTCCTATAGATTTACACTTTTTCATTTCTGCATCTAATGTACTTTATTCCTCCCATGATTATAAGAGGTACTTTATGTATATTGTGCTATAATTGCATATTTATGTGTCTTGTCTCCCCCAGGAGGTCTGTAAATTCTCAAGAGTGCTGGCTGGGACCTGAAAGCTACAAAATAAATATCCAGTGGATGACCAAATTTATCTTTGCCTTCTTTCTGTTTCTCTTCAGTCTAGATAGATGAAATTTCCATTTTAGGGAGTTTCTACCCTCACATCATGTGTGCATTCCTGAAACAAATGTTAAGTGAACCCCTGGCGAATCCTCATACTAAGAACTGAGGACCAGTGGTAACAATTTTGATATTCTACTGGAAGGAGACAGACTATAAAGAAGTAAATGAATAAAAACTTTAATTGTGGATAATAAAGAAAGACTATCCCAAGGCAATGATTTAAGCAGAGACTTAATGAATAAATATTGTCTAGATATAGGGGAGAGTATGTGTGAAGGCCTCATTGCAAGAGAGAGAGAATGAGTTCTAGGAACTGAAAGTGGTTCAATATGGTAGACAGTTTAACAGTAGTGTGAAAATTTAAGAGCAGATGTTGTGGAGTCAGACAACCAATATTAGTTGTACAACTGTGGATAAATTACATAATCTCTCCTTGACTCAGTTTCCAAATATGCAACAAAAGGATGATGTTAATAGTTCCTGCCTCGCAATGTTGCTGTGAAATAATGTTTGCAGCACATAGCACAAAAGAATTGCTCAGTAATGTTAGGTACTCTTAACTGTTGTTAGGTAGGATCCAGACTTCAGAGGGCCTGTAGGCCCTGTTAAAGAGTGTAGACTCTGTCCTAGGAATAATGGGACGTCACTGAGGACTTCTGAAAGAGATGATGATAAGCTTGATAGTGAGTTAGAAGGATCATTCTGGAAGCAAGGTGGAGAAGGAAGTGTAGGGTCAGTGGTGTGTACCACATTAATTAGGAGGTTGTTCCATGGATCTATGGCAGAAATAATAGTGGAAGCCAGGTGTAGCACTGGCCTATAATCCCAGCTCTTAGATGCTGAGGCAGGAGGATCACCAAGAGTTTAAGGCCAGCCTGGGCTATACAAGGAGTTCAAGGCCAGCTTGAACTACATAGTGAGACCCTGTCTCAAAAAGAAATTAAAAGAAAAAGAAGAAAAAGCAAAAATGATGGTAGAGCATGATGTGGTAGGGGAAGGTGACAAAAACAAATGGATTTGGGAGATATCAGGGAATTAGAAACCACAGGATAATAGTATTTAATTAGATTTTAAAATACAAGCATGATTGGCTCTAAAGTTTTTGGTTTGAACTAGTTATCAAATAGTGCAATCACTTCCCATGACACTGAGTGGCAGGGGGTCCATTTAGGAGGAAAGTGAGTTCCATTTTATACATGTTGAGATTAAGTTGCTTATGAGATATCCAAGTAGAAATAGCTCAGTAGATTTCTGTCTTTGCTACCACTGTTGTAGTTCTGTTGTCTCTCACTTGTCCAGATTTAACTCATCCTCCACCTTTTTGTCTATCCTCCACCTGGCCATAAAGCTATTTATCTAAGATGAAAATCTAACCATGTTACTTTCCTGCCTGAAGCCTTTTTTAAGAGAATAGAATAGACAAGTTAGAATGTCACATGATGCCTAGCATCGTCTACCTTCAACTTACCTTTCCACCCACCTCTCTGGCTCACTGCTCACTCCTTAGCATCAACCTCACATGGAAGATTAAATAGTAATTCAAATGTGGTGCTCCATAATGCTTCCTGTTAAAATTAGTAAAGCAGCAAAAGCTGAACTGGATAGGCAATTCTTGCAGCTGTTCCTGAAGGCCCTGAGATGCTTGTTTTAGGTCAACTCAGATGACTATAATTGGCAAGGGAAAAATGATGAGATTGTGCTAGGATGAATTCAAGCAAATGGCTAACCCTGTAAAAAACTAGCACATTGAGAGACAGTGTCTTTGGTTTATACACCTGGTCTCTATTTGAGTTCATATTAACATATTTAAATCTATTCAACACAAGTCCCTATAACACCATTTTGATACTCTTAGTATCATAAACAAAGAAACAAAGATGTTAACTGAGGCTCACTTTACTAATACAACCCACTAGTGAACTTGCTTGTTTATTTGAGACAGGGTCTCATTATGTCGCCCAGACTGGTCTTGACATTCTGGGCTCAAGTGATCTTCCTTACTCAGCATCCCAAGTAGCTGAGATTATAGGCAAGTGCTACTGCACCTGGCTCCAGCAAATGTATTTTTTTTTTCCGGTATTGGGGATCGAACTCAGGACCTTGTGCTTGCCAGGCAGGCACCGGCACCACTGAGCTAAATCCCTGGCCCTCCAGCAAATGTATTTTTAATAAATTTTTTCAGCCTAAATTATCTAAAATTATCTTTTGAGACAGGGTCCCACTATGTAGCCCAGGCTGGCCTTGAACTCACAGGGATCTTCTTGCCTCAACCTCCCAAGCACTGGGATTATAGCTGTGAGCCACCACACCCAGCCAGAATATTTTCTGATTTATCACTGAAAATTCTACCTGATAAGGTGGGAAATGTGAGTGCATATCAGAAGCTTATAAGGAAAATCCCAAATAGGTACTTTTTCAAGAATGATATTTATTTATTTATTTGTTTATTTATTTATTTATTTTCTAAGAATCAAACCCAGGGCCTCAAACATGCTAGAAAAGTAATTTACCACTGAGCTCCATTGCCAGCCCTCATTTCATCATTTTTATTTCTGTATTATGAAAGGTAAAACTGTTAAGTTTTCTTATAAACTTACTAGCAGTTAACACCATGTGGAAGTAATTTGGCTTAAGGTAGGAAATTTAGATTAGATTACAAAAATACTTATCTTCATTAGATAAGTACCCACCCAAGAAGCAATTAATTATTAGGTATGATGCACTTTACAGTTGTTAGAATTGCACTTTGGAGTTAGAGTATATAGTTGGTATCCAGTTGGGCAATATATGGGTTTGTACATCTAACAATAAAAGTTTATTATTTCACATAATAAATTTGAATGTTGCACAGTTCCAAGCTTGATTAATTGATTC